AAAAAAAAAAAAAAAAGAACCATCGATAATTTTACCCCTCGTTTCAGACGAGGCTTTCGAAGAGCAGTTTTCTCGATTCAGGCAGAAACGGTTGGATCGCGACAGAAAATCTTACCGATTCGTCGGGGGGTGGACTCGTCTGGTTGAATTTCAGTATCCTTTCCTCGTTTCCTGCGCCACGTAGGCGAATTTCCGATAACAGCCACAAAGAGAGTCTGCAATTTCGCGGGTCTCTGCTGGGACCGATCGTAAAGAAACTTTTATTCGTCGATGTATAGAGAGACAGAGAGCGAGAGAGAGAGAGAAAGAGAAAGAATATCTCGACGAGCTTTCGATTATTCTCGTCCCGTTCACGTTTCTTTAAGAGAAAGAAAGAAAAAAAAAGAATGAATAAATAAATGATTGGCGTAACAAATATAACGATTGTAAGATTATTCTCGTCATCTTTAATCTCTTTTCATTTTCCTTCGATTTCCTTTTTTTATTTTTTTATTTTTTTTTTTTCGGTTCTTAATTCGAATCAAGTTCCTTCGTTCGTTCGAACGTTAACGTTAAATCTTTTTTGTTGAAACGAGTATCGTTATTGTTATGGACAGGCTTCGTAGAAATGACTTTCCATCCCCTTTTTTTTCATTTTCGAGGATCGAAAAGGCTTTGAGAATCTTTGAATTTCTCTCGTTGAAATTGTGCGTATGATTGAATGCATCCTTCGAAAAATGCGTAGTTTATTTTATCTTTTCTGCGTATTTTAAAGTATATAAAAATATATGCATATTTCACGTACGGATCTGCGATTAAATCGATCGATCGATCGATCGTGTTTATATTATATTTATCCTTGTTTCTTATCTTCGAAATGATGATAATTAAGGATCGACGCTGGCGTAGGCGGAAGTGACAAAAACTTTGCTCCGCCGAGAGAATCGAAAGAACGGTAGAAACGGCGAGGGCTGATATTTCGCGCCATTTTGTTCCGGTCACCAGGCCAAGCGGAGAGAGACGCCATAAAAGAGACGCCAGCAATTATTTCCGACGACTATGCCGCTCGTAAAATGTTAAACAGGACAAGGGGATATTACATACCGCAGCTATATTAATCCTCTCTATTTTTATATCTTGCAGAGGTTTTAAAATTTAAGTGCTTCTCGACCAACTATAAACACGTAACCTGAACATTTTATTGGAATTCGTAAAATTTTCGTTTCATAACTATAAGAAAAGATTCTAAGAAACCGATATTGTTTTAACTTACGGAAAAATACAAAGGTGTCGTCCCAAAAATTCCAAAATTCTCTTCTAGGAAGAAGAGAATCTTTGCGTTCGAAACAAATATTTTTTATCCAAAATTTACTTTGCAGCAAAAAGGGGACAGATCCTTTTTTAGATCGTAGAAATCCAAGCTTTATCACTGCATTTTTCTTCCCTCTTAACTGTCACACGCTTCCTGCAAATCCAATTTTCACAAACTTGAAACACCAATATACGCTCTTTCTTTTCTCCATCTCGTATTCCTTCTTATCTCTTTGGAGAAATAAAAATTCTCCAACGAATCGTTCTGCCAAATCACGGGAAATCGCAAGAACGTTATTTTCGAAATTCAAAATCGGAATAAATCAGCCCGAAATTCCATCGATTCTACCGTGCTTCCCTCTCCTCGGCTCGACTCTCACCACCCGATTTACCTTGCGCTCCCTGTAGGAGTACCGCGGCTAATCCAAGGGGGTTTCCCTGAACCTGGTTCTGCTTGTTCGTCTCCCTCGCCGCCCCAACTACCCTGGAGAACGCGGACACGGCGGCGGCGGGACTGTTCGGGGGCGTGCCCTGGGAGGCGGGGCCTTTGTCGAAGAGTTCGAATTTCACCGATTAGAAACAACCTTTCCGGATTTTGATTATCAACAC